ATAAACCTCCCTAAATAAGGTTACTTTCTTTAGTTTTTACTTATCCATAAAAGCCCATATTCTCTGTGGTGGTTGCAGAAGTCGATGTTTTTCCTCCACCACGAAAGAGAAGCTTTTCTTTCCACCTTAAGGTTCTTATTGGTTTTTGTTTGGAAACAGCCATAAGTGATTGCATTTAGGTTCATTGTAGTTTTCCTTGTCATTTTTATTCATCCTCTCTTTGCTTATAGCCTATAAATAACCTCAACGTTGCAGTTCAACCATTGAAACAGTGATGTGTTTAGAGCTTCTTCATAGATTCACAGCACGGTAGAGAGAAGAAGGCTTAAAGGAGAAGAGAGAGAGACAAGATAAGCCAGAGAAAAAGGAAATATTATTGATTGATTGATTCACTGAGTACAGAAAAGGGGAGAGATATATAAAGGGAAGGATAACTACAAAAGCGGGTCATGCAACCTAACCGAATGGTTATAAAAGGTGTACCAATATTATCAGCCCCCCTCAAGCTGGGCATAAATGNCAGCCCCCCTCAAGCGGGCATAAATGTTTTGGAGACCCAGCTTGGAACGAAGAAGTTGAAAAATAGGGGAGGAGGTAACGGTTTGTGGTTAATATGTCGGCAATTTGCATAGTTGTGGAGATGGGGATAAGCTTGATCAGCCCAGCTGCAACCTTTTCACGTACAATGTGGCAGTCAATGTCAATGTGCTTTGTACGTTCATGATAAAAACTTGGTTAGAAGCATTTGTATGGCAGATTGGTTGTTCGCAGTGAAGAGATGAGGGCAGGAGGTCGTGTAAGTAACGTGGAGATCATGAAGCAGATATGTAAGCCACTGCATTTCACACACAGTGCTGGCGAGCGAACGTATTCAGCCTCAGAAGAACTACGGGAGACCGTCGGTTGTTTCTTGGAACGCCATGAAATGAGAGAGTTTCCAAGATAGATAGTGAACCCAGTGACCGAACGGCGAGTATTAGGACAGGTGGCCCAATCAGAGTCACAAAAAGCTTTCAGTTGGATAGTAGAGTTGCACGGAAAATGAATACCAGTACCAGGTGTACCTTTGAGATATCGTAGGATACGCAGTAGTGGCTTGTTGATGGGCAGTCGTGGGGCAGACATAAATTGATGAGGTGATTGACGGCAAAGGTAATGTCCGGACGGGTGGTGGTAAGGTAGATTAGTTTCCCAATAAGACCGATAAGAGGCAGCAGCATCACCATTCAAAGACGAATCGATATTAGTGGCAGAATGTTTGTGAACCATGGGAGTAGGGACAGGAGAGCTGTCAAGCATGCCAGTTTCAGCAAGAAGATCGAGGACATACTTTCGTTGGCTAAGTGGATGCCTTTGGAGTTGCGGGCGACTTCAAGGCCGAGAAGTAAGTTAGATCACCAAGATTCTTTATGCAAAAGTTGAATGAAGAAGATTGGTGATGCGTTGGATTTCTCCATCATTGTTTCCGTGTTATGAGGATGTCATCAACATAAATGAGAATTGCCGTAATGTATTGTCCATCATGTTGCGAAAAGAAAAGAGAATTGTCAGATGTTGAACAGTTATAATTATGGGACAATAAGAAAGTATGTAACTTAGCATACCATTGTCGGCCAGCTTGTTTAATACCATATAAAGATCTCTGCAGTTTGCAAACTTGATTCGGTGTGGAAGTGGTAAGACCAGGAGGAACTTTCATATAGACATCTTCATGAAGATCACCATGGAGGAAAGCATTGTTAACATCCAACTGTTTTAGTGACCAATTCTTTGTGGCAGCTATGGCAAGAAGGAGCCGGACGGTAGTGAGCTTGGCGACAGGAGCAAAAGTTTTAAGTAATCCAACCCTTCTATTTGGTTGTATCCTTTGGCGACCAAACGTGCTTTATAACGATCGACCGAGCCATCAGAATTGTATTTAATTTTGTAAACCCAACGACAACCAATAGCAGTTTTATTAGGGGGTAAAGTGGTGAGGACCCAAGTATTGTTAGCCTGTAGGGCATCAAGTTCAACACACATGGCAGTAACCCATTCGGGATTTTTAGAAGCAACAGAATAAGAGTTTGGTTCAGTATTAGAAGTTATAGACAAAATAGTATGCTTGTAATGATTTGAAAGACGATTGTAGCAAAGATAATCTTTGATGGGGTAGCGGACAATGCTATTAGTTTTATAATCTTTTAAGTAAGCCGGAGTCGTTCGGGGTCTAGAAGAACGCCTTACACTTTCAGAGATATCATTACAATTATTATCAAGCTGAGTGATATCTGTAGGTGTGTTGTGAGAACCGGTCGACAAGTCAGTAATCAAATTACCGGGCGGTCTATCAGCAGTAGAAGAGCCGAGCGGTATATCATTAGTGGTGGGGCCGTACGGTAGGAGATGATCATAATTATGGGTGTAGTTAGTTGGCAGAGGAAGGGATAAAGAGTTCTCGGTTTTTTGAATATTGTGATATGGAAAAACATTTTCATGGAATTATTGAAATCAGAAAAGAAAAAAGTTACAAATTTTCAAATCTTTTCTAAGTTTTTAATGAGATGCAGTAGTGCAAATATACGAGTTAACATAGAAAAAACGTAACCTATGTTAAGGAGGTGATATTTTTGAAAATATTGTAAAGTATAAGTTAGTGTTTAGATAAAACCATAGCATAAACCTCCCTAAATAAGGTTACTTTCTTTAGTTTTTACTTATCCATAAAAGCCCATATTCTCTGTGGTGGTTGCAGAAGTCGATGTTTTTCCTCCACCACGAAAGAGAAGCTTTTCTTTCCACCTTAAGGTTCTTATTGGTTTTTGTTTGGAAACAGCCATAAGTGATTGCATTTAGGTTCATTGTAGTTTTCCTTGTCATTTTTATTCATCCTCTCTTTGCTTATAGCCTATAAATAACCTCAACGTTGCAGTTCAACCATTGAAACAGTGATGTGTTTAGAGCTTCTTAGTGCCTTTACTTTCCCATTGTTCTTGTAGCAGTGACCTATGTAGTTTATTTTAATAAAAGAAAGTTATGGTTTCTATGAACCATAACCTTTTAGAAATTATATGCTAAAATTTTGAACCGTAATCGAAAATGATTATTTTATATTATGTCTTGATAGACTGAGTTTTTAATAGTAGTCTAATATCTAAAATAATTGTAGTTGAATGTCCTCACTGGTCGTGTTATTTGTTCAAAACAATATTTTACATAACTTTTATAAAATGTAAGAACGAAATTGGTATATAGTTCAAATGAAATACAATTTTTAAAAATAATTTAATATGAAAGACATATTTAATCTTTTTTATATCAATAAAATTATTCACAGATTTTATTATAGAGTAACCACAAACTCGATAAACTGTGATTGATGTGTTTACGCGAGTATCAAAAGATTAACTTCCCAATTTATTTTATCTCCATAGACTCTTTCAGTTTATCTCAACATGATTTCTATGGATGAAACTATAAAAAGATTACAATTTTCAACAATCATATTAGATTACATTATATACACAGTCGATTAAGTCATGTTTCACCTAACATAATTAATTATATAATATAAAAACTAAAATAATAACATAATAATAATAATAAAATTATAAAATAATACAAAAAAATTAAGAAAAATAATAGTAATAATATTATTAAAAATCTAAATAATAATAAAATTGTAATTTATTATTCAATTATAATTAATTTAAAGATAATTGTTTATTTTATAAATTGTTTTAAATTTATTGTATTAACTAAATCATTCACAAACTTTTATTTTTAGATTTTTTTTCACTTCTTAATTTTTTTTTCTTGGATCCAAACATCATTTTTTTCCTCTCTTACTCTTCCTTTCTTTTCTTTTCCACTCCTCAAATTTGCTCCTTATTCCAAAGCAACACAAAATGAACTCATGATTCAAAATGAGCCTATATATTATAGAGTAACCACAAGAAGTAACATCAAGGAGTTATGAAAGAGGAATAAATTAGTTGTTTTGAACTACTATACATGAGCCGGGACCTAACTAAACATTTTGAAATATATAAGAAAGATTGTTAGGTTTATTAATAAAGTAAAATAAATGTTCAAAATAGAAAAATGTTCAATATCACTCGTGTTCAATATTTTAAGAATCACTTGGAATAAAAATAAATGGAAAAAATTATGTATGCCTAGATCTAAACTCAATTAGACATAAGCCATACAACTAGAATGCTAAGAAGAACCCTCTAATGGAACATTGAAAAACTGTAAAGAAAGTTCTAAGATATTAAAATGGAATAAAGAATCACATGATTACACATAGAAGGTTTGACCACTCATGGCTATGTATTTGTTTTAGGTGGAAGAGCAATATCATTAAAAAGTTCTAAGCAATCAATTATTGTTGTATCTACATTGTAGCTAAATTTGTAACATTTTTTAATGTCATATTGCTAGGCCACTGAAAATATATTTTAATAACTTTACAATAATGGTTTTAGCCTAAGAACTTGCCAAAATTCACGTGAAATTTAAGGGATAAAATGAAAATTCAAATTCAAATGAGATCTAGAATATTCTCTTTATTAAGCCGAGATTTCAATTACATGTATCATGGTTGCTCCATGTTTTCCGTGTCTTGCTTTGGATAAACCTTTGTCCTTTGGCCAAGAGTCCTTTAATTTCTTGGCCTTTGGTTTATTTGCTAATTGAAACTCAATTTCGAATCCAAAATACAATTACAAATTTAAAGAAAATAAAATCTACAATTACAATTAGAAAATACAATCATACGAAATTATATTCTAATATACAGTTTACAAGCAAAATATTTTATTCTCCAATAACAATGCTAATGTTGTCAAGATCATTTTCAACCATGCCCTCATCCTATTATTTCAACTCTTATGATAAATAACCCTTTAACAAAAACTAAAAAGATTACCTCTCAATACATTTATTGAGCACGTTTAAAATATAGATCTTATGGTTATAAATGATGGTTGATTATTGTGTTTATTTCGAATTAAATGATTGATAATTTTAGCTCATTTATGACATATTTGTGTTCTTATGTTTGCATCCATATTTGTATTAGAGTAATGTAATTAAACGCGTTGAGTCAGTTATCAACTCTAATTAAATTTATTTACATGAATGATAAGTTTAATTTCAATTTGTGGTACATGGACTGAATTGATAGATGTACAATTATCATTTCTCATTCTTAATTATGATAAGGAATGATTTAGTTGGACCAATCCAGAATACTAATCAATCAAATGAGTGGGTCATAACAGAATGAAGTTTTTTTTTCTACTAAACGTGAGATTACTAATCTATATTAAACGTATGAACTCATGTTGTGGAGAGAGATCATAAAACTGATAGTTTAATTGTGCAAAAAGGTGGGTTTTCTGCCTTGGCCATGCCATACACTTCCAAAAATATTCAACTTCAATGGCTATTAACAATATTATTTTATGCCAGTGATAGAAATGTTCTATCCAAAAAATTAGAGGGTAAAAGTCATGTAGAGGACAGCTAAAATCAAGGCCCCTGATTCCAAGTTCTTTAACCAAGCTCTCTAATAAAAAAGAATTAAATAAGCGGCTTCAAATGCAATGCTGAATGATGTCCTAGTAAAAGAAAAGAGAAATTGAAAATTAGAAACTTTTCCCCAGAAAAAATGCATTCTACTAAATCATTATCTTCTCCAAATCTTAGCTAGGGTGAGAAATAGCTTTTGTGAAAGTTACCTGAGATTTGCGGTATGATCAGCAATTTGGTAGTCTGTACAAAGATAATGCAAAAAGAATCACCATTTGATGCGTATCAGAAAAGAAAGGTCATCATATCATAATTGAAAGGAACCAACCTTAGTCACGCCTTATGCTTAGCATTTTCAATGCTAACTCCCACGCGACAATTGTTGCAGCATTAGCAGGAAATGCTCGACTTATAGTAGGACCTAAACCTGCATAGCACCCCTTAAATCCAGCCCTTTGGTAGACCTACAAATAAAACCACTTTTGGTACATTGTTTTTCTTAATATATAAATGATTGGCAATTACAGAATCAATGTAGAAATATTTAGAGAGCTTACTGAACTCAAGACCCGAAAAGGATTTCTTGGACAGTTTTTGTCAGGGTTTGTCTGAATTAAAGTCTTTGCCACGTCAAGAGGCAAAACCGTCAACCAAAACTGGTATAACAATCAACAAAAATCACAAAAAGTAACAAAAGAAGCTTCAGTATGGTTAATATACATAGCATAGTAGTTGCCAACTACAGTAGAAAAAAACATGTTTAGTTATCAAGATGCTTACACCAACACCACCAAGACCTCCAGCAGCAATCCCGATTCCAATATCAACCAGGTTGCTGTAATTGGATGAAGAAACTTTGATATTTGAATGCATTTGATGACGCACATATTCGTAGACACTCATAAAGACAGCATTCCCTATAGATTCTCTAAGCAATGTTGTACAACCTCCACGAAAAATTCCTTTCACCTGAAGGGAATACCGTCAGGTATAACACATTAATCGTGGTTTTGCAGAATGTTAAAGAATTTTCTCACCCCTTCAGTTTTTACTGTTTTAAGAGCACAATCAAGGGGACTACTGTATCTACTGGACTTGGGAACCAAAGAGTCGGTGCCTTGTATCTGCATCCTACACTGTAGAAATTCAAATTTTGAATTGGTATGGTTATTAGAGACAATAAAGGTACCAATGGCACAGGATCACTTTACCTTTATCAGCTCTGTTGGACCTAACACAAAACTGATGATGGCACCACTATAAGCTGCAGACGGTATTATTACTTGCGGCCGTGGTTCCCCACTTTGAACTCCCCCCTAGATTAGTTTAGGTAAACAAAGGAAAAGATATGAACTAAAGCCATACTAAGATTAAAGATAAATCACAAATGATACTCACAAAACTAAAAAGATTATAAAATTCATCTCATAAGGAGTGTGCTAATTGATGCAATGTCAAATCAAGATAAACTTCATTTAAGCCATTACAAGCACACCTGAAGGTACATTTTTGTCTGGGAATAAATACCAAAAAATAGTGATCCTTCTACTGCCATCCCAACAAAAGATGATGTTGCTCCTCTATAAAGTCCTTTGATCTGTAAGAGTTAGTACAAAATTACATTTAAAAACTCTCAAGTCAATTCCCTTGACATCAATGATTAAAACTAAACGCAAAAACATAACATATTGTTAGACATATTTAAATCATTTATAGACCTCTAGTTAATGTTTATGCCTTTGAGACAGTTTACACATTGGCATAATATGGATCTCTGTATGCCTTTGGGAGAGTTACCCATTTACATAATGTCAGTCTCTGTGACTAAGTTCAAGAATTCCACCATTGTCCCTCGGATCCATTCTTTATAATTAAATTGAAATTCAACACAAAACGGGTCCATGCCTTATCTATCTACACTTAAAGCCAACTCACTCTTGCGTGATTGGGTCCCCAACTAACAAGGTATCAGCTTAAGCTTTTAGGAGAACAACTCTTGGACACAGCAATTCAATGTAAGACAAAATAAAGTATATTTAATCATACTTCACTTATCACCTAAAATCTTCAGTATAATAAGACATACTTTACATGTTAAACCCATTTCTAAAGTTTGGCTCAGGGATCATAAATTCTAACTCCAATTTTGGAGGAATAACGTATCATAAAACAAAATGTTAAAAGTCACAATGAAAAAAGCATCAGAACAGAATAGAAAGGAAAATAGTAGATTTGAACATATGTAGCTTCTTAGTTCTGACTTTACAGTATAAGTGATGTCAAGTATAGCAAGATTTCTACAAATACTTAACAAAATATTACATAAATAGGTACTAAGAAATACAATCTCCGATTCAGACATGACATCATTTCTTCTCATGGAACATAACTTTCCACAGACAGGACACAAATTTCAGATGGTCAAATAACTTCGTTTCTTATGGCCATGATCACAGTTGCAACTGGGGTCATCCCTTAATTAAATGATGTGATGGTCCTGCAATTAGTATAATATTCAATCCAAATTACCCAAATAGAATTGAGTACTGGACCCACTACATGCCTCGTAAAGATAAACTACACCTGACTAGACCTCCAGCTTTTACACATAAGTAAGCATATGAACAAGAATTGATACAATTTAGCAGTAGTTTCATATGCTTATGATGAATTTGAATAAATAACCCATTGTTTTTATCCTTTGGTAGTTGAGTCAAATAGCCATACTCCTTCTGTCTTTAATATCCTAGCAGTGCAATGTAATCCATTTCTGTACTGAATCATATGTGCTTCTGCATTGTGCTTTTGCAGCATCACCTATTAATGGGGAAATAATAGTTTACTGATAGGCCACAATTTTAAAAGTAGATGACTAAAACATAATTAAATACAATAAAAACCATCCAAAAATCACGAACATGCAATGAAGAAACTAAAATAGATATAGTTACAAGTATGATGGATAAAAACATTGTAGAAGATCATGAACCGAATAGAATGACAAAAAGTATGGCCGATTTCTTACAGCAACTAAAGAAATGTGATCAAGGAAGATCGTTCAAGATAAGGTATGTTTGTGTTCACTGCTGCATAAACTTAAAATTTCAGAAAATCTCACCATTTTCACAGCTTATTATTGATATTATCTCGTAAAGTGAATTAGTTGAGTAGTCTAATGTTAAGGGTAAGGCAAATTTCTGTAAATATGGATTATATTCTCTAGCTTACATATATGATATTGTTGATCAAGTTATTACATGCATGGCATTTATGTATGTTATAATTATATGAGTTAGTGTCATTCCGTGTTTAGTTGCAAGTCTCATTCTGTTCCTATAGTCTTGTTCCTGCTCGTATACCACATTATTTAATCACACACATACAGAGCAAGCTAGAGAGACAGAGAGGGAAAGTTAAGTTCATTTGAGCCCCTCATGGGGAGCCTAACTATCATTATCTATCACAAAAGCACACAAATTGATAAAGGAAAGCAGTGCAACAACTTTCACATGCCAAGGAGATGGAAAAATCATTATGTTTCTTTCCTAGATCACCTAAGTAATATAACTTCCTATAATTTTCTTCATTATTTGTTATGGGGATGAGCTGCACAATGGTGAAGTCGCCACCTTGTGACCTAGAAGTACAGGTTGAGTAAATCTTCCCAGTCGTAGCCAAGTATGGATTACAAGAGCATAAATGTAGTTTTCGGTTCATAATACATTGTAGGATGAAAGGGTCATGCTAGCCAATTATAGAAAGCCTAATGATACACTGGCTTAGCCTATTGAGAGAAACCAAAGAGCATCTCACTTTGGAAATTTTAAGAAGGCTTTGGTTGCAAGATTGAAATTACATTAAAACTTTTGATTTGGTTCCTCTCAAGTATAAATAATTACAAAATGAGTAATGTTTAGGGTACTTCCTTGGTGGACTTAAACCGGAGATCAAGCACCAGATTCATAGTTTTCATCTCCAATCCCACATTCAAGCCAAATTCACGAGACAGAGAAGAGTTGACTGAATCACACATAGACAGTAGACTATTTAGGGGGCAGAATTCTAATTGGCAACAAAATAATGTAGGACTGCTTGCAAAAGGTGTCATTTCATCAGGATGGAAGTTCAATACCCGAGGTGCTTCTTCGAAATCACATGGAGGTTGGAGCAATGGACAGAATCAAAGCAATTACATGTCAAGTTTGGATAACACTTTCTGACATTGATGATTTTACAATAGGCGGTAATGATGAGATTAGGGGCAGTGATTGGCAGAAAATAGGAGTGGCTACATCCTGTTAACTATGTGCATTGTTTACTTCAGTGATGTATATAAGATCCGATAGTAGGCAGTTATTCCGTTTTAATGAGAAGGAGAAATTAAGGGAAATTCGTATAGAAAAGCCAGTAGAAAAAAGGTTAGCGGCGAAGTTGTATTTGGAAGTTCTTCAAACAATGTTATTCTCTATAACAGTTGTTACATTTCTCGGACAACTTCTGTTATTTCTGCTTAATCGGTGTGCCTAAATACCAAATTTCAGTGTTCATCATGTGTTTATTTCATGAGTGTAACAACCACCATTTTTTTCACCATTAATATCATAATACTTATACACGCTTAAATTATTTAGAAAGATTAACAAATAAAGCCCGGACATGAATTAGACAAACAGTTCAAGAATAGATCTGGATCATCATGTCATCCCTAAATAGAACATAAGTTACCGTTTTTACCATCCCATTCAAAAACCAGCAGTTGTCAGTAAAAAGGCCAAGAAAAGTAAAACTTGGTCGTTAAGCTAAGTAATACTGACAAGCTCAACACAATCCCTTATACCATACCCGCTTAAAAGTTAACGGCAGTCTCAATCAACCAATAAACAATGACAAAACTAACCACATTAAGTTTCAGCACGAAAAAAATGACAATGAAAAATGAACTCTATGGAAAATTGAGATCTAAAATTGTTTTATGCTTGCTCAGAAAAATGGACTGTTGAATTAGAGCACCCCATTTTAATTTTCAAACTTACATAACATACAAAAGTACCAAACACCATTTTCAACAGCCAAGAACAAGCATTGGGCAGAACAGTAAAACACTAAAATAAAAAGGACAAGTATCCAATAATGTTGTATCAAACGGAGGCGCTAATGACAACCAAAGGGGTCAATATAAGTTGATAAAAATTTAACCTTGACGGTGTCAAAGGGGTGGCCAGAGGCTACAGCGGCAACACCAGCGAGACAGCCAGCAACATATTCCTTGTACCCTGAACTTGAAATCTCCTCCATAACTCTCACTTGCTTGAACCTAGAATCGGTTCTATCAGATACATACGAACTACGTTGTTACTATCCGAACCAATTATCTCCGCGTGCTAATCGTTGACCGCCAGAGTGTGTAAGAGTTAATGCCGCGGTAGCTGAAAACACTGTTGAGGTTTCTGAGGCCAGTTTCTCAACGAAACAAGGATGGTGATGCTAGCCCTGTGACCAGAAAAAAAAAAAAAAAAAACCATCACAGCTGAGGGTGAGAAAGAGTATTTAAAAAATTAAAAAATATATAAAAATTAAATAGGTCTAAAATCTCTAATACATCATTCATTTTTATTTTAAGTATTTAATAATTTATGCTAACATTAGATATTAGATATGTACTAATTAAATATTTTAATTGAAGTATATTATGATATTTGTGTCAGTTTAATTATTATAAGATACTTAAATCAAAGTATTTAATTTATAAGATATATGTTTTTGGTATAAATTATTAGATAATAAAAATAAAAATTTATTTTGTATTATTAGCGAGCTTTGGAAATAAATCCACACCCATCACGGGATCGTAAGTACAAGAGGGTGACTAAATTTAAAAAAATAAATTATAACTTCGTAGTTTCTTTTCTTATACTTTTTATCAAATATGAAAGTTGGAACTAAATTTTAAATTATTAGAATAATTATGATAAAATATTATCATATTAATATGCAGATAATAATCCTAAAAGGTGTTAATAAACATTGTACACACACATATATATTCTCTCTAATCTTATGCAAAGCATTAAAAGATATCTCAAAACTTTGTTGCACAATAATACTCATATGCATTACACCTTATATGAAAACCTTACATGAAAGTAATTATCATTACATATTAAACCATTTTGCAATTTTAAGTGCTTACTCAATTTTTTGCAACACCTTACTGCCATTGACATTGCGTAATATGATAGTTACAAAGCTTTAGAAGTAATTACCAAGCTTTCTTACTTTTTCTATCTACATCACTACCATCATTTTAAATCACCTATATTCTTGGTGGTAAAAGAACCATTCTAATTATAATTAATAATTTATACATCTAAAGTTTCAAAACTCATCTTGTTCTGTCACGATTGACAACACAACAAAACAACAAAATATGATAAAAGTAAAGGACCTTCCAATAAATTTATTACTATTATGTGATGGCTTTTAAACTAACCAAAGGGTTTTTTGATAAATTTAAATGTTCACATGAATTGGTAAAACTGCAGTTGAGGTTGGATGATGGGAAAATAAGAACTATTATATTTATCAGATACACAACAATTTAGAAATTTATATCTTTTGCATACTTTTAAGAGCTACTAAAGTTGTTAATTTGACCTAAGATCCATGTTTCAATCCTAACCCACCCTTTGCAAAAACCCTTTCTAGGAGGCTCCATTTGATGGGGCAAAAAAAAGTCTCAGCCTCCAAACCCTTTTAAAGTGGGTTAGGGTCAAGGTTAAGATGAGTTTGCCCTCACTACAATATTTTAATTAACTCTTAAAAATAATACCTTAAATCTAGGTTGAAGTTGCGAAAAAACACTAGAAAATGATTGAATAGTATTTTCATAACTCTTTTATTTTTAGATATTCTTTTTCCGCTAGAAGGTTGATCTTTATGTACCTAATATTAAATAACTATAATAATAAAATATATCTAAAAGAACTAATGGTCACTACTAGATGACCAAAAGAAACACGCTACTCCATCATCGTATTTTGCTGAGATGCTTCAACACCTATCTCTCATATGTTTACACTAATAAAGTGATTATTTTAAGAGAAACAAACAATACACAAGAGACAACAGGTAAGCTAATGTGAAAAAAGTTTTTATAAACAATTAAATAACACCATATAAAATCTAAACATGAATTAAATACAATAAATGATATACACCATAATAAACAGTTAATACTAGACTCAATTATCCAGATACATGCATTTGACATTGAGATTCGATATAGGTGTGCCCTTGTAGTAGTATTCATACTCTATAGATTCATAAATAAAGGAGTTATCACCTTACTACTCACAAGGTCAATCCCCTTTGCCTAGGACCAAACTAGTGTCTGGTGGCTGAGACCTATTACCATTCTTTCCCCACTTCATTTCCTATATGAGTTGCATGATTGATAGAATATCTTAATACATCCTTGTTTAACCCCCAATGTCAATGCATACACAAACACATCACCACAAATAATTCTTCTTGAAATTCTCACAACATCATCACCATACTTATTCACAATCATAATCATCACCACAAAGAATAACACACAATACTATAAGCATACATAACTTCCGTCAAATATTAACAAAAGAAAAATAAAATAACAAATGTAGACATTGATGCTCAAAGGTGGCACTCATTGTTAGACTTCTTGCAAAAGGTGGCGTTCAACGACATAATCCTAATGTTTAGTGTCAAACCTTTCACGAAAATGTCGTTCGACAATAGTTTCTAGTGCTCAACATCATTATCCTCGCAAAAAGACTCGCTTAGCGAACATATCTATTGTTCAATGTGTAGAACAAAATTGCTCTAGACCTATGACGAAAAGTGGCGCTAAACGGTGCTTTGGCGCTCAACAGTGCTTTGCCACCGCTTAGTGCCAAAGCATTCTCAAGTATAGTGCTCAACGGTACAAATCTATCACTTAGTGGTCTAGAGCTAAATGCTCTCAAACCTGCACAAGGAATTGACGCTCAACGCTAGCTTGCCACTACTCAACGCTATATTAGATAATAGTAGAAAATTGAGTGATTTGTGAAAATGAAACCTATTCAACTTATCAAATTGATATTCATTTTTTAGTACTTTAGTCAAAAACAATTTTTAAGGTCCGAACATATGATTAACTCAATTGATCAATTCTCAATTCAACTCAACTTAACCAATTCCATAAACAACATGTAAACAATCAATATCAACAATAAACCAATTTCAGACAAATCAAACATGCAAATTAACATTCTTAAAACATTTATAACTTCAAAATAAGACAATTAGTTTCCCTTATTTGAAAGACAACCAAACAACTGGATAGATCTAAGAATACCTTCAAATACACAAAAACTTTATCTGCTCCTATGAACAACACACATGATTAGAGTGAACCATTAGAACAAACAAAACCTTTAGTCAGTAGAGACTCATAAAAATGGGACTAAAAGGTAATTCGAGTGGAAAAAGGACTAGAACTCATATTCAAACGGAGAAACTGATCGGTCCAAATTGAAGAACTCGCCGTAAGGATCAATCACAATTTCAGTTTTTCAATCAGACAAGCAAAGAAAAGAATCCAAATCCTAGAGAGAAATGAAAGAACTCTAAAAAAATAGTTTTTAAAGAAATTGTGTGTTAAAATAATAAAACTCTTTCCTAACAAAACTATTTATATTAAAATATTTTGATATTAAAATAATTGAATCTTAAACATAATTTAATCACCATCACTGAGTGCAAAGTAACCAGTGAAAAAAGCTTGGATTTGCTGTACAAAGGGTTGATTTTAGGAATGTTAGGAATGCAAAGTAACACTAGAGCCATTAGTGTAAAATCTTTGTACATTTCCGTGTTCCGATCTTAATACATACAAATGTCTCAATTTCTTTCTTCATTTCATGCTTCAATTTTGCATCTTTACTGTTTTATAAATTAATTCTTACTTCTGCACTTCTTTAAAATTTCTTGCACTTTATTTCTGACTTGAGTTTATATACCCTTTTTATTTCTTGTATTATTTTAAATGTTCTGTGTAAACTATCATTGCTTGTTAATTTCTTGCACTTCTTTAATTTTTGAAGCAAGTTATTTCTTTTTAGAGTTGATTTTAATTGCTTCTTCAATTTCACCAATTTATGGTTAATTAGAATGACTTCTTGAAATTTGATGATGGAACACCTGAGCCAATTTTCACTAGGCGAAACGGAATAGAGACACCCCGTCAACGTTCTTTAGGCACTTTTAACGTTCGACCTCCAACGGACGTCTATTCGGGGTTGACGTCTATGTAGACGTCCGCGTGTGTCAGTCGGACGTTATATGGACGTCCGTTGTGTTCGGACCGGAGTCTATATGGACGTCGCTGTTCAGCCCGGAGTGATCTATATAGACGTCCGCTGTGACCTCTCGGACGTTATATACTACTGCAGAAGAAGGCTTTATAGAACGGCTTATTTAGGGTTTTGTAGGATTACGGTTAGGATGATTTAGGATACGGGTTTGACGATTTGTTTTGCACTCACGTCTGAAAACAGATCAAAATGAAAAATGGCGGAAGAATGGAGGAGTAAACGACCTAAAAAGTAGGCCAAAAACCCCGCCCAAGAACACGCAAAACAAATGCACCAAAATGCACAGAAAACCGATTTTAATCGGTCACAAATAAGATATGTCATCACTGAAACATTTAATCGGAAAAAAAGTAAGGATTAAATGGACCCAAAACGCATAAAAACCAACCTGGAAATGCAAGGCGGCAGAGGGAAGGTTAGCATAACTCCTCGGGGTTTCGCGTTTGAAGTGTGTATACTTTATTTAAACGTCTTTGACGTCCGTCCTGGAGGTGGACGGAGTCCATAATAATAACGTACGTCCCCCTCCAGGACGAGACGTTCAGAGACTGACAGTGGTAGACAACCCCCAGTCTCTTGAACGTCCGTCCTGGAGGGGGACAGACGTCTATTATATATGGACGTCGTCCCCCTCCAAGGACGGACGTTCAAAAGACTGAGGGGTTGTACTACCTGTCAGTCCTTGAACGTCCTCTGGAGGGGGACGGAACGTCCATATATAATACGACGTCCCCTCCAGAGACGTTCAAGAGATGACAGGGTAGTACAACCCTCAGTCTCTTGAACGTCCGTCCTGAGGGGACGGTCGTCTATTATATATGGACGTCCGTCCCCTCCAGGACGGACGTTCAAGAGACTGACAGGGTAGTACAACCCCTCAGTCTCTTGAACTCCGTCCTGGGGGGACGCACGTCTATTATATATGGACGTCCTCCCCTCCAGGCACGAACGTTCAAGAGACAGGGTAGTACAACCCCTCAGCCTCTTGAACGTCCGTCCTGGAGGGGGACGGACGTCCATATATAGAGAACGTTCCGTCCCCCCCGACGGACGTTCAAGAGGCTGATCGTTTCACTACCCTGTAGCCTCTTGAACGTCCGTCCTGGAGGGGGGACGGAC